GGACTAACCACTTTGTTGCCATGGCTTCTGTTGTACCAGCAAGCTCCTCAACAAAAGAAACAACCAATTATGCCAGGTTATGCCGTGTTCTTGTCGATGTGGGCACTTGTGCCCTCAGGGATTGCTTTGATTCCATCTGCGCACCACCAACTCTTCACACGGTCTTGGCAGCCAATCAAGCCACCTTGCAAAATTTGAGAACACGGAGGATTATCAATGCAATACAATGGGGAAAACTCTTTCCAGCCATTCCTTCTTCAGTCTCATCAAAGAATTTTGACATCACTCTGCTGACAACTTTGTTACGCAATATATGCGGTCTTGTTCCCCCAGTGACTGGATGGGACATGCTCCCTGCTTCCACAGACATCAGCCGAGAGGCAGACATCGCAAGAATCAAACACCTGAGAAATACAGTTTACGCTCACGCCGAAAGCGCTTCTGTTGATGCTGCAACGTTTAACAAACTCTGGAAGGAAATCCGGAACACTCTAGAACGACTAGGAGGACTTAAATTTAAGGTAAAATAGACTTGAAATGTTCAGTATGACATGTTGAGTTGATATCTTTAGTTATCTTATTTCCATTCTATGGAATTCTAACTAATGTGGCTCACCAATGCAGTGATAAAGTGTAATCATGTCCCATTTAAGGTCGCTATTGACAACTTGGAAGTTTGCTGCATGGATCCCGATATGGAAGTCCATTACAAAGAACTCCTTCTTCAGTGGAAAAATGATGAAGACAACATAAAAGATGAACTGAAAGACATTGGCGTAGACATAAAAGTAATTGGCACCGACATAAAAGAAATTAGCACTGACATAAAAACCCTCACAAGGAAGTTTGAAGACTTGGTCGCATCAAATGAATCTTCCGCCAGGGAAACAGGTGATGTGAAAATACCAAAATATTAGTTGACTGAAAATCTCCCCTGTGCCCGTTATAGACTATACTCACTGGCAGCAAAAATCACTCCAATTTTTATGGTCAAGTTGTGGATTTTAATTCTGTGAGAAACTTCGGACAAAAAGTTATTTTGTGTATGTTTTCTTTGTTCTGTATGCAAGCATTTTTGTTGTTGAAAATACAATGGCTAAACCATTATGTATTGATTAAGAGCCTAATCAGTCTGAATTGTGAAAAACTACCCCGGCCTAAAATATAAGAACCTGTTCAGCTTGACCTCGAAAAATCTAGGTTCTTATATGCATGTTATTAACTTGAGCTTGGTTTTCTTTTTCATAAGGTAAGGGCCTAGAACTGATGGGAAAACTGGATACCTCTTCGGTGTGCAGAGAGAAATTTCATGAGAATGAACTTTTGTCGTCTTTCTGTACACAGTGCAAAGTGTGCATTTGCGACAAATGCAAACAAACCCGTCACAATCAACACAACACAGTTTCTATCCATCAAGCCGCAGAACAACACAAAGTTGATATCGAAGAGATTGTACAAGAAATGAAAAGAGAAATTGCCGTTTACAAAGAGCAGATGAAAAGAATAGATGAATCCTTGAGAAGAGGCAGACAGAGGATTGCTGCAGCACGCAATGAAGCAATGACGTCTGTTGAGGAACTGATGCGACTTTTACAGGAACATGAAAAGGCTGTGCTAACCAGTTTAGATGTAATTGAGGGGAAGGCACAAAGAGAGCATGCAACGCAACGAGAACATTTTCAAATTTCTATGAATCAGTTACAAACACATGTCGATTGTTGCAACGATATTTTACAGAGAAAGAAAAGTGTTGAAATTTTGCAAGCACATGCTGTAATTGGCCAGTGCCGAGGTGTTCTAAATGAGGAGAAAAAGAACATTTATAAACCATCGCATGTCAGATACGAGATAAATAAAGAGCTTGTGAAAGATGTGAGAGGCGCAGTTTCGTCGATGGGTCAAGTTGTTGTTAGCAGCACAGATCCTTTTCAGTCGCTGGCTGAAGGAAGGGGCTTAAAGGTAGGAGAAGTTGGACGCGAAGCAAAAATTACGCTGACGACCAAAGATTGTGATGGAAACCAATGCTACGATGAAAACGATCGAATAGATGTGACAGTTCAGACTCCTTCAAGCAAAGGACTTAGCTACATGATTGAACCGGGCAAAAACGGTGAATATAGCGTCAGTTATACCCCTGATTGTGTTGGAAAACATGANTTTTCTTTTTCATAAGGTAAGGGCCTAGAACTGATGGGAAAACTGGATACCTCTTCGGTGTGCAGAGAGAAATTTCATGAGAATGAACTTTTGTCGTCTTTCTGTACACAGTGCAAAGTGTGCATTTGCGACAAATGCAAACAAACCCGTCACAATCAACACAACACAGTTTCTATCCATCAAGCCGCAGAACAACACAAAGTTGATATCGAAGAGATTGTACAAGAAATGAAAAGAGAAATTGCCGTTTACAAAGAGCAGATGAAAAGAATAGATGAATCCTTGAGAAGAGGCAGACAGAGGATTGCTGCAGCACGCAATGAAGCAATGACGTCTGTTGAGGAACTGATGCGACTTTTACAGGAACATGAAAAGGCTGTGCTAACCAGTTTAGATGTAATTGAGGGGAAGGCACAAAGAGAGCATGCAACGCAACGAGAACATTTTCAAATTTCTATGAATCAGTTACAAACACATGTCGATTGTTGCAACGATATTTTACAGAGAAAGAAAAGTGTTGAAATTTTGCAAGCACATGCTGTAATTGGCCAGTGCCGAGGTGTTCTAAATGAGGAGAAAAAGAACATTTATAAACCATCGCATGTCAGATACGAGATAAATAAAGAGCTTGTGAAAGATGTGAGAGGCGCAGTTTCGTCGATGGGTCAAGTTGTTGTTAGCAGCACAGATCCTTTTCAGTCGCTGGCTGAAGGAAGGGGCTTAAAGGTAGGAGAAGTTGGACGCGAAGCAAAAATTACGCTGACGACCAAAGATTGTGATGGAAACCAATGCTACGATGAAAACGATCGAATAGATGTGACAGTTCAGACTCCTTCAAGCAAAGGACTTAGCTACATGATTGAACCGGGCAAAAACGGTGAATATAGCGTCAGTTATACCCCTGATTGTGTTGGAAAACATGAAGTGCTGATTGCTGTTAACGAAGAGCCACTGAATGGTAGTCCTTGGAGCGTTTATGTAACACGTTGCTACAAATATTCATTTTCGATTGGTTTACATGCAAGAGGTCAAGGACAATTTTTCCGGCCAATTAGTATTGCAATAGATAATAAATCTGGAAATGTTGCAGTTGCTGATGAAAATAGAGTCCAGATTTATAGTTTAGAAGGCACGTACCTCAGAGATGTTGCTAAAAACGGATTAATTACACCCACATCGGTAGCATTCACCAAGTCGAGTGAACTCATAGTTGTTTCTTCATCAAACTTGATCTTTTGTTTTGATCAGAGTTACAGATTTGTGAAAACTATAGCTATAACCAACAAAGAGCTCAATGCACCACGCCGCTTGACTATTGCAGGTGATGGACGCCTGGTGGTGTGTGATTGGGGTGACCATACAGTCAAGGTACTGTCCGCTGATGGTTCACAGCTATTGCTTACCATTCGTGAATCTGCCAATTCACTTCCAAGGCATGCTATTAGTCATCAGAAGATGATTTTTGTTTCCTGTTACCTGGCAGGTGTTGTTAAGGTATTTAGCGAGAAGGACGGTGTGTTTCTGTACAGTATAGGTATTTCCAACCTGAGTACTCCTGTTGGTCTTGAAGTTGACAGGTTTGATAACCTGGTGGTATGTGATTGTGATAACGCAAGACTGCAGATATTTACTCTTGACGGAAAATTTCTAAACACAGTAGAAGGACAACACAATGGGCTTAGTGAGCCTTACTCTATCGCCGTGTCGAGCGCTTCTCAGTTGTTTGTCACTGATTATAGCAAACACTGTGTGCACGTTTTTCAGTGAACACTACTGAACATTACAGCAAATTAGGTTTCACAGTGCATTCTGACCGTGCTTAAACTGTGCATTTTTCACGGAGTTTCATAACGGGATGGAAGGAACTTTTAATAAAATTTGATTTTGACCTTTCAATTTATATCTATGTAACCTGTATGTTTAATGTATAAATAAAGACCACTTTACACTCAAACCATTTATACTTTGGAAAATTTGTAATACAAAACTGGGCCATGATAATAATAAAACTTATATAGCGCCGATATCAATATTGCTATTTTCATCAGCGCTTCATCAGCCATATCGCCAGGTGCCAGGTGCCAGGTTCGAGTTGAGTGCTATTACCACCGTGTTAAGTTGCTTCGGCGCTAGCATTTTAATTCCGTCATGGAAGGTATTTAAAGACAAAGTGCATTGTGTAACAAAGACCCGTCTGAGAATCGCTCGTGCGTAGGCTTTGTTTGACAAGGTTTTCAAACCCTAACCAACTCGTGATACTTAGTGCTGATTCAGGGAATGAGTCTCACTGATGTGTAGTCTAATAACGAAATATGTCTCTAGTGTATGATATTACGTTCCCGTCCCTGCCTCTCTCCTCCATAGAAATTTCTTTCTATGACTGTAAAGAGAGAAAAAATGCGGGGAGAGGGGTGGAGGTGGTGTTGGTGTGTGTGTGTGTGTGTGTGTGTTTGGGGGAGGGGACGAGGGATTAGCAGAGTGGCCTTTTGCTCTCCCCTGTTGGCTCAGTTGTTTTTGCTTTGCAGCATGGCGTCGCTCCTATAACAAATTTGATCTCCCACGGCCATTCTTATACTCAGAAATTCACAATACCACACAACATATGCATTTTATACGGTGACACATATAAAGACCATGATATTCTGATTGTGATTATGATTATGATTATCTTCGTTATCTCTAATAGATCGTTTTTCAGTCACGTGGTCAACAGCTTTGCAAATTGCTTGGAATAAAAGAAAGTTTAACATGTGAAAAGAGTACAATTCCAAGAGGATTTTTTTGTACACAAATATGGCCGCTGTGACGTCATGTAAAAACGATCTATTCGTGAAGGTGTTTATGATCATGCATTTTCCCGGGAAAAACAAAATTTCTAATTTTATTGTCGTCTTAAAGAAGTGCAGACTTTTGCGAAGTTCTGGCCCTACTTGAAGACCTATTTCCTTTTTAAAAGTGCCTTAGTAAATAAGTTCTTCGGTATCACTGCGGCCAGACGTCCAACAGCGAATGGTACTACTTAGTTTGTCTTTGCTCTCCTAGACAAGCCTAGATACTTCCCTGCAAGGTCTTGATATTCTAGTTTCCTGTTTCTCTCGCTCTTTACCTGCAACTTTCCTATCGCCAGATTCCACTGTGTCTATGATGAAGGTTTGTTGTTGTTCTTATCATGGACAGTTCTGACAGTTCTGACAGTTACATAAGGCTTAAGGTGATTTATCTCAGGATTGGTTTGTATGATGAAATCCGCAATATTTTCTCTTCTTTACTCTTATAGATATTCCTGGGGGTTTGTGTTCGTAGATCACTTGCTACTGTATCACACACTTTACAGACTTCACAACGAACAATAGCCTGCGAGAGCATCCGGTATTTTCGGGACGATCCGTACGCTGGCGTACGGACCGACTCAAAAAAGCCCCCCGTCCGTGCAGGCGGTTTTTCAAGTTGCTCCCGCCCCAATCTCCTCGCGGTTTCTCTGCCCTCGCCCGCCTTTATTACTTAGCGCGCCCAACCAAAACCGCCATGCTACGCAGGCTAGTAGTTCACTTGCTACTGTATCACACACTTTACAGACTTCCCAACGAACAATAGCCTGCGAGAGCATCCGGTATTTTCGGCTCTTGTTTCACCCGCCGAGAAACTAGAGCCGAAAAAACCGGATGCTCTCGCAGGCTAAATGAACAACCAGAGCCAACGTTTTACATTCTTCTGACATTTTCCAGACATGCACAAATAAGTCAGAGTTAAGTTCAGTCAACTTTGCTCATTTTTTTAATCCATTTCGAACAGAATTGCGGTCAGAGTTGCCGCACCTATTTCGTCATTTGCCCTTGTCATTCGCGTTGTCCCCTTGTGAAACACTTATCTCGTTCCCAGGCCTAGAACCTCACAGGGGAATGTGGTTCCTCTCCTGAGCAATGCTAGAGTGTTCACAGTTCCCTATTTTTTGGTGAGATCGTTGAAATATAGCGCGTCTTACTGTTAATGACGGCCATCTTGATTTTCAAATGTACCGAGGGGGTGGGCGTCGTGGATTATAGCTCTAGCTATAGCTCCTCCTAAATAGACCAAAATCATTCAATTTATTCAGTTTATTGATTGATTAACAAGAGTTTGCGCATTTATTGCATTCTTGTTCAATGTCAAGTTCCAAGTAAGGATTCTGACATTGAAGTTGAGCTTTTTCAATACGGAAATTTAAGTGTGAATCGATGGACCTACAAGAAGGTGTTTATAAACTGTGGTAATATATTTGCCGAAAGCATATTATTTTTGTGGAGTTTGCTACAGTTGAGAATAAACGCCTCCTATCTATTAAACGCCCCCTCTTGGCTCCTAAAATTAGATAGACGCCCCGAGCTAGCGTCTATTAGATCATTTACAATACTTTTGTTCCATTTGAAGCTTGATTCCCAGGTAGTGGTTGCGGTTTGTTCTGGTTGGTTTGTTCGTAGCCCACGCTGGGTAACCGTTACACTGTTGTTTTCCCTGACGCATGTTCAAGAGTCTGATACTACACAGTCCGCTCTATGATGTAAGTACGCAAAATGGAGAGCTCATGCTCCAATGACCCCAGTAGTTGGTTTGATCTTTAATTCAGATACTTGCCTGTGTGGGTAGGTTTAGATAAAACCCTCCAGCGATCTGGACCAGACTGATCGGGTCACGAGTCACATAAAGGGCATGACAAGTTCAGTCCTCTGCGAACAAGGCTTGCCGAAAGCTCAGCTGATTTTTTCCGTTAGCTCAAGTTTAGTGACGAAAAGGATCGAATGAAACACTAGGCAAGACTGAGGCGGATTTCTAGATGTATCCGACGCGTACATGCAGTTGATTTCGGGTTGAGGTAAACGCTTTTCAAACTGGCAAAAGTAGTGTTCAGGTCAGCACGGTCCCATGGCTGACAAGTGTGTCCCTTTAAAGCATTGTAGTTTCGAAGAAAAATACATAATTTTGATGACCTTTTTATATCAAATCTCATTCTTTTTTCAAATTCCTTCACAACTGATTAAGTTCGTCGTAAGAACAATGCTTTGGTTGAGGCTCTAACTACCCTTAATTTTTTCTAATCTGTTTATTCTTTTTGGGCAAAGAACGTTTTTGTATTATGAACTTTTCTAGCTTAAGTTTCCTTTGCTATATGTAAGTGTCCTCACATTGAAAAAAAAATTGAATTACAAGATGATTTCAGGTTTATGCATGGTAGTCTGGGTAATTAGTATTCGGCAGCAAATATGCATGCTGCTTTCGCGGCACCTCGGGTAGTTTCGGTGGAGTTCATGCTTCGATGAATTTTCGACGGATGAATCTCGACCGTGACTAGAGCTCAGCTTAACACTGACACAAGTCAACAATCGCTGCCAGTACTGAGTTAGTGGACAAGGAAAGCTGCATGTTATATTCATCATTCCCCAAGGATAACCTGTCGAATGTATGTTACAAATAGTTGCAAGGCTTAGAAATAGTTTGTAACAAGTGGGTTGGTAAATCTTTAGCCACACAAGGTTTCTATCAAGTGATTGAACTGTCTGGAAGCAATTAAGCGCTATATTTCAACTTCAAAAAAGGTATGTATCTCTTCATTTTGGAATGAATTTGACTGTGTCCTTTTCAAAGAGTACTGTCTTAAACTGCTGTGCGATATATAAAAGCTCTCGTGTTAAGGTCAGCCATGAAAAATATCATGCAGTTGCGTCAAACCCAGAGGATGAGTTGTATGCAAGAACTTTAAGTTACTGAACACACACAGGAGGCAAGGACTAGCTGAAAACATGAGACAATTTTATTTCATTCTTCTTCGTAAAACGTATTTTGGAGCCAAAAGTTCTCAAAATTAAATTTTGAATACCTTTAGAAAACAGGTATAAAAAGGCAGCTTTTAGTCTAAATTCCCCACGCTTCATCGACCTCAAAGTTTTTCCGTGTACAGCATTCAAGGCCAAATTCTACATTTGCTTTATATTTATCATAGGTTTCACTTCCTCGTTTCAACATAAGTGACGTTGTACTCATGCTCGTCGGACATCGGGCCTCGGTTTCTTGATAGTAATAACTTTGAACGTAAATGCCTTTTGATCTAGGTCCCTTGCATTTAAAACTCTTGCCCGAGGGAAAATTGTTAAATGAAAAACGTGCCGAATGACACATCAATAAGCAATCCCGGGGGGAACTCCGCATATGAAAGGGGTAGGGATGCTCGTCGGAAATTTTGAATTAAACCCCTAAAGGAGACCAATCTGGGCCTGGCCCAAGCTTTTTTTGACCCCTCAAAGCGATCATTTTAAACTTTGATTACATCAATCGAGTGAATAAAACGAATTGAAAATATATAAATTTTTAAATTTCTTCGAGTGCAGCCCTAAAGGAGACCTTTACGGCTAAATATAATAGTGTTTTGCCAAGAACACCCTAAGCAAGACCAAAATCCGAAATTTACATCCCTAAGCGAGACGACGAGCATCTCACCCCTTTCATATATGGGGTCGCCCCCCCGGGAAAGCAAGACTCATTGATATTTAAATTGGTGGATTTGCATTGGCCTAGAGTGTCAGTATTACCCATATTTTAGCGTATTGAAAATATAGCAAATATGTAGCGTGACATAGTCTCTTTAAATGACTGCTCGAATAAAAGTTATGATTAATCCAAAAGCGTTCATTGTTCAACACGTAGTAGTTAGTAGAAAAGAATGACTTAATGAATGCCGGGAAAACAAAGGTGCCGCAGTTCTGGCCCCAGAATCCCTGACTGAGTGCACTGAAAACCTCATTGTGTTTGAGTTGATTTCATTCACTTATTTGATAACGTTGTCCACAGCTAAGTACAAAAATGCTTAGAGCAACATATAACAGGCCTTATTACCACTGCACTTTATAATTATTAACTATGGTTGAAAGTAAGTAAACCTCGCTTAAATATGAAAACTAGAATCGTCAAGCTCCAAAGCTAGTCAAAGAAATAAAAAAGCTAAAATCTAAAGTAGTGGGAAAAAAAAATAAGTAAAAAAATATTGTTTTCCTAGATTCGACGTGCACGAACCTCTTAGTTGTCATGGCTTTCGTTGCACCAGCAAGCCCATCAACAAAAGAAACGACCAATTATGCCAGGTTATGCCGTGTTCTTGTCGATGTGGGCACTTGTGCCCTCAGGGATTGCTTTGATGTCATCTGCACCAACTCTTCACACGGTCTTGGCAGCCAATCAGCCCGCCTTGCAAAATTTGAGAACACGGAGGATTATCAATGCAACACAATGGGGAAAACTCTTTCCAGCCATTCCTTCTTCAGTTTCATCAAAGTATTTTGACATCACTCTGCTGACAACTTTGTTACGCAACATATGCGGTCTTGTTCCCCCAGTGACTGGATGGGACGTACTCCCTGCTTCCACAGACATCACCCGTGAGGCAGACATCGCAAGAATCAAACACCTCAGAAATACAGTTTACGCTCACGCTGAAAGCGCTTCCGTTGATGCTGCAACATTTAACAAACTCTGGAAGGAAATCCGGGACACTCTAGAACGACTAGGAGGAGTTACATTTAAGGTAAAATAGACTTGAAATGTTCAGTATGACATGTTGAGTTGACATCTTTAGTTATCTTATTTCCATTCTAACTAATCTAGCTCACCAATGCAGTATTTAAGTGTAATCATGTCCGATCTAAGGTTGCTGTTGACAACTTGGAAGTTTGCTGCATGGATCCCGATATGGAAGTCCATTACAAAGAACTCCTTCTTCAGTGGAAAAACGATGAAGACAACATAAAAGATGAACTGAAAGACATTGGCGTAGACATAAAAGAAATTGGCTCTGACATAAAAACCCTCACAAAGAAGTTTGATGACTTGGTCGCATCAAATAAATCTTCTGCCAGAGAAAAAGGTGATGTGAACTTACCAAAATATTAGTTGACTGAAAACCTCTCCTAAGCCCGTTATAGACTATACTTACTGGTAACAAAAATCACTCCAATTTTTATGGTCAAAATTTTGGATTTTAATTGTACTACACAATAACTTTTTGTTTTTAATATGTTTTCTTTTTTCTGTATGCAAGCATTTTTGTTGTTGAAAATACAAGTGCTAAAACCATTAAGTATTACCAAGAACCTAGTCAGCCTGAATTGTGAAAAACTACCCCGGCCTAAAATATAAGAACCAGTGTTCAGCTTGACCTCGAAAATTCTAGGTTCTTATATGCATGTTATTAACTTGAGCTTGACTTTCTTTTTCATAAGGTAAGGGCCAAGAACTGATGGGAAAACTGGATACCTCTTCGGTGTGCAGAGAGAAATTTCATGAGAATGAACTTTTGTCGTCTTTCTGTACACAGTGCAAAGTATGCATTTGCAACAAATGTAAACAAACTCGTCACAATCAACACAACACAGTGGCTATCCATCAAGGCGCAGAACAACACCAAGTTGATATCGAAGACATTGTAGAAGAAATGAAAAGAGAAATTGCCGTTTACAAAGAGCAGATGAAAAGAATAGATGAATCCTTGAGAAGAGGCAGACAGAGGATTGCTGCAGCACGCAATGAAGCAATGACGTCTGTTGAGGAACTGATGGGACTTTTACAGGAACATGAAAAGGCTGTGCTAACCAGTTTAGATGTAATTGAGGGGAAGGCACAAAGAGAGCATGCAACGCAACGAGAACATTTTCAAATTTCTATGAATCAGTTACAAACACATGTCGATTGGTTCAAGGATATTTTAGAGAGAAAGAAAAGTGTTGAAATTTTGCAAGCACATGCTGTAATTGGACAGTGCCGAGGTGTTCTAAATGCAGAGAAAAAGAACATTTATAAACCATCGCATGTCAGGTACGAGATAAATAAAGAGCTCGTGGAGGATGTGAGAAGTGCAGTTTCGTCGATGGGTCAAGTTGTTGTTAGTAGCACAGATCCTTTGCAGTCGCTGGCTGAAGGAACGGGTCTGAAAGTAGGAGAAGTTGGACGCGAAGCAAAAATTTGGCTGACGACCAAAGATTCTGGTGGAAACCAATGCTACGATGAAAACGATCGAATAGATGTGACAGTTCAGACTCCTTTAAGCAAAAGACTTAGTTACAGGATTGAACCCGGCAAAGATGGCGAGTACAGCGTTAGTTATACCCCTGATTTTGTCGGACAACATGAAGTGCTGGTTGTTGTTAACGGTGAGCCACTGACTGGTAGTCCTTGGAGCGTCTTTGTAACTCATCGTTACAAATATTCATTTTCGATTGGTTCACAAGTAAGAGCGGAGCAAGGACAATTTTTTCGGCCAATCGATATTGCAATTGATGATAAATCTGGGAATGTTGCAGTTGCTGATGAAAAAAGGGTTCAGATTTATAGTTTAGAAGGCAGGTACGTAGGAGTTGTTGGTACAAACAAACTATCTTCACCCACATCAGTAGCATTCACCAAGTCAAGTGAACTCATAGTTGTTTCTTCAAATATGATCTTTTGTTTCGATCAGAGTTACAGATTTGTGAAAACTATAACCAACAAACAGCTTAATGCACCACGCCGCCTGACTGTTGCAGGTAATGGACGCCTGGTGCTGTGTAATTGGGGTGACCATACAGTCAAGGTACTGTCCTCTGATGGTTCACAGCTATTGCTTACCATCCGTGAATCTGCTAATGCGCTTCCAAGGCATGCTGTTTGTCATCAGAAGATGATTTTTGTTTCCTATTACCTGGCAGGTATTGTTAAGGTATTTAACGAGAAGGACGGTGTGTTTCTGCGCAGTATTGGTATTTCCAAACTGAGTTATCCACTTGGTCTTGAAGTTGACAGGTTTGATAACCTGGTGGTATGTGATCGTGATAACGCAAGACTTCAGATATTTACTCTTGACGGAAAATTTCTAAACACAGTAGAAGGACAACACAATGGGCTTAGTGAGCCTTATTCTATCGCCGTATCGAGCGCTTCTCAGTTGTTTGTCACTGATTATAGCAAACACTGTGTGCACGTTTTTCAGTGAAGAAAGAATTTTTTTCATGCAAACTGAACATTACAGCAAATTAGGTTTAACAGTGCAATTTGGCCGTGCTTAAACTGTGCGTTTTCATGGAATTTCATAACGGGATGGAAGTAGCTTTTGATAAAATTTGATTTTGACCTTTCAATCTATATCTGTGTAACCTGGATGTACGTATTAAATAAAGACCACTTTACAGTCAAACCATTTATGCTTTACATAATTTGTAATATTAAATCGGACCAAGAGCCATAATAGTCCTATTATGGCTCTTGACCGGGCAATATAGTCAGGTTCGGTGTGTCAACCTTGCTCGGCGCTAGCTTTTAATTCCGTCATGGAAGTTTTTAAAGACAAGGTGTGTTTCAAAGACCCGCCTGAGAATCCCCAATATCCCGCTCATGCGTAGGCTTTGTTTAGACTACGAACAGTCTCTCTTTTTTCTGTAGTCTGTCAAGCAAAACGCGAGACACGCGCCCTCGTTTCGCACGTCTCGCGGCTTCGCCGCTCCCGCGCGCGTGCATTGCTCTCACTAAATCTGAAGAAAAAGAGAGACTGCTCGCAGTCTAGGCTTTGTTTGACTAGTTTGTCAAACCCCACCAACTCGTGATACTTAGGGCCCGATTCAGGAAATGCGATTGATTGATATCAAGAGACTATAAAGGGGACAGAGAGGGCATCCCCCATATACACCCTATTCCATAGGTAATTCGTCTCGAGTTATTTTTAGAATCAGGATAAAGTTACCTCGCGCGAGGCGTGGATGTTTCGTGGAGGTTTCGCATGACCAAACGCCGTGCAAAACATGTCGGGCGAGAGGCAATGAAAGCGTAAAAAGATCGAGAGCATTCCTGAATATTGAAGCGAAATGAGTCGGCGCTCACCTGGGAAAAAGGAATCGCT